TTATCAAAGACACACATGGAATTATAAATGAGTCAAGTTGAGTTAAGTAGAAAGTTGTTTAAATTTGGTTTAAAAATTTAACGAATTTCAATATGTGTTCGAACTTGACTTGTTACATAACGAGTTGATCTTGGACGAGTTTTTAACTAGCCAAACATGAGTTGAGTTCTAATAACTTGAATTTTTATAGTACATATAAGTTTATTGAGTTAAGTAGTAAGTTGTTTAAACAAAATTTGAAAACTTAACGAATTTAAAACTATATTCAAGTCTAATTTATTTACATAATAAATTAATCTTAAATAAAATTTTAATAAATCGAATATGAACTCAACTCAAGTAGTTTGGTTTATTTAACCGCGCTAGATACAAGAAGTGGTTGGATGAATCGCAAAGGAATGGCCTAATAAGTGCAGTTTAGGACATAAGAGTGTACTGTTTCTAAATCTCAAGTTTAACTTTCATTAGTTGTTATTAATTTCTTGAGACCACGTTTAAAAATTCTGTCTAATATTATTCACTCTACATAAAAGAGATATTTTACGTAAATTTTAAAATTAATCGTAATATCCGTAAATTTATCCGAACACGTGATCGTTAAAAAAACCCAAGAAGAGACTGGCTGAAAAGTGCGGGGACTTGGATACTTTTCTTGGGGTGATTATTCAGTACTCTCGGGCCATGTTTGTTTGGGCAGACTGGATTAGCATTCCTATGACTAATAGTCTTAGGACTACGAATCCGTTGGATTATGTATCATATCTTAACTAATAGTCAAGTTTAAAATAATTAGTCCGTACTTCAATTGTTTAACCAAATATCGGATTAATAATTTTATTGCACTATTAGTTCAATCCCAAACTCATGTCCACCCAAACAAACATGGCCCCGGAGTATGGGCACGTGATGCTCCATAAGGTTTTGATTGGTAGAGAGATACAAAGGCCCACGATTTATGTTGAATATGGAGGGACAATATAGGCCTAACTAATTGGTGATTAATTTGAAATATGAATGCGTAGTGCTCCGAGAATATTGAATAATTTTTCTTTTTCTTGTTGAGCATTTGACATCATTTTTCCTGACTTTAAAAAATGTGGGCAGAAAGAAGAAAGAGCAGAGGGAGTGTGTCTGGCACGCGTGGTCTGTCCACCTCTGGCCAACAATGAACAACACACAAAAGTCATGATGGAATTGGAATTGGTCTAAGAATAAAAGGTTGAGACCCCTTTTGATTCACCTCCTTTCCCCCTCTTAGTTTTGATTAGTCAATTTTTCTTCTTTTTTTTTTGTGAGGGGGTTGTGAGGGTAAGTGTTTTAAGGGGGTCTAAATCAATGTCCATTGGTCTAATTTAGATTTTGGTTTTACCTTTTTGAGATATTCCTCGAGGTCACTTTTAAAGGTTGTTTAGAATGACCTAAATAAGTGTATTTTTTATTTTTTTCGAAAAAATATGCAAAAAAATAGAGAGATAATGTGATAAAAAAAATTGATTATTTTTGAGTTGCCAAACTTGACCTTAGTCCTGTAAGCACATGGGTTTTATTTTGAAAAGATGTTTAAAATTCTCAAAAAGTACTTATAATTTTACTTATAACAATATAATAGGATATGTGTTAATTTTTAATTTATTATATATTTAATGATAGTAAATTCAGCTCCGATGCTATATCATTGTTGATAAATTTACAAGTATAAATGTGTAGGTCTTTAATATTATTATTTATTTTATACACAAATCTACTTGTGGACACTGATCAATATTTTATATATATCCTTTGGTGTGTAATGCACACCATGTACAACCTTATTATAAAATTACGTAATGATATCACAAAAATGGATAAATTAAATATAAATGTGTAAGTTCGTAAAAACTTAAGATTTATGTAAATTTAGGAGTAGTTTAGGATAATTTAAATAAGTGTACTTTTTGATATTTTGTAAAATATGAATTGGGTTTGAAGTGATGTGGTAGGCAGATGATGTGACTTAAATAGGATAGTGACTTTTTGACTTTTTAAGAGCATTCCAAACAAGACCTTATATTCAACTTATGTATTTTTATAAGATTATTTATATAAATTTGTGAAAATTTATATAATTTTATAGTAGAATTGCATGGTGTGCAGAGAATTTTTCATGTTGTTTTGGTATTATTCTTTGTGGTAATTTTTTATTCTTTTTAACTTTCTTGTTGTTAAAATGTTTACTCTTAAATCTTTTCAATTAGGGAGTGCTTTGGAAAGTTAGTAAAAAGTTGACTTTTTGATTTTTTTGGTGACTTTTTTGGCAAAAAGCTGATTTTTTTTGGATAAAAAAAAAATAGGCATTTTTAGTATGTTGCCAAATTGAGCCTAGGTCTTAAAAAACATGAGAGAAAAATCGATAAGTGAGAAACCAATCTTCCAGGTGAAGGTGAAGATGATAGTAATAATGTTGATGATGATGATGATGATAATGATAAACAGAGCCAGAGACCTCACCGAAGTCCTCACAGAGATGAGAATCTTTATCTTTGATCCTCAAGATTCGGCTATGCACGTAAACAATATTCTTCTAAGTCCACTGCCCAAACTTCGCCACTGACCTTGGCGATTCAAGGGTCTTTTGGGAAATGGGTTATAATCTACTTCCCAGATTATAACCTACTTCCCTCTCTTACAAAAAGCTGATTATAATCAGCTTATAATCAACTTTTAACCAAAAAATTGATTATAACCATCTTCCCAAAATAGCTCTCAATCTCATCCGATGATCTAACACTTTGTTTATCCGTCTCGATTTCCATACCACACACCTTCGGTTTCCGTTTGAGATCTAATCATCGTTCAAGAAGCACCCCTTCCAAGTCCTAAAATCGTTATCTCAAGAGAGAGAAAAGAAAGAGACCTCAACACCAACACACCACGCGACTACTGCATCACCGATCTCTTCTATTAATCTAGAGAAAAGATAGAGAGAGAGAGAGAGAGAGAGGGTGGTAGTGGTGTCGAAAGGGTTTTGGCGGTGCAGCCGAAGGAGTTTCGACAGTGGTAATGAAGAAGAGAGAGAGAGAGAGAGAGAGAGAGAGAAAAATGAGCGATGGTTTGGGTAATAAGGTTTTGAGATCACGGACGATTACCCATATATTTATATGTATATATATATACATATAGATGGATAATTTATTAGAGTCCAAATTTAAAAATTATAATTTGAGTATGGAATTATATTTTAAATTTTGAGTTTTTAAGTCATATTTGAAAAGAAAAAATTTATTTAATTATGAGTTTTGAAAATAATTTTGAGATAATTTATACTTTCTTTTTCTTTTCCTTTTGTTTGGATTGAGGTATAAAATATGAAAAAAATGTGAGAGGGGAGAGACGAGAGAGAAAAAATGATTGATTGATTAATAATAATATAAGAAAAAGAGAGAGAAAATAAGTTTTAAAAATAATTTTGAATTGCATTTTAAAAATTTGTGATTTAAAACAGAATTGAGTTTTGAAAATTAAATCAAGCACTACCTTAGTTATTTTGGACAAGCATATCTCCTTATGGGCATAATGTTTTAACACCTTAATCTTTAGGCAAAAAAAATGCAAAAGTGAATTTTTTGCCCAAGCATCCTAAATCAAAAGTTATTAAATTTTTAAAAATATAAAAAAAAAAAAATGATTGAATATCCTAAATTGTTTTGATCAAAATTTGATCTGCCAAAATATCAAAGAATCGAACTAGCAAGCATTTTTTGTGCCCTTTTGCTATTTATTATAAACTTATAATGAAGGCCCTCTAACCAAAATCCACAAATATGCGAGTTACAATCAGGCCTGGCCCTGAGCAAAGGCCAGCAAAGCCTCTTACTTGGGCCCCCAAACTTTCCTAAAAATTATGGCCCCCAAATGTTCCAGACCTTATAGTACAAATATTCCAGCCAATATAGTATAACTCAAACCCAAAGATGAAAACCCCAAGACCTAAATAAAGTGAAACTAAAGGACCCAAACAAATATTCCAGCCCTTAATAGTATAATAATTTCTAAACTTAATTTTAGGTTTTGATTTTTGCCCCACTTTCTATTCCCTTTCTCTTTGGTAACTTCGTATATAGCACATGGCCAATGATGTGCCACCAATAAAGAAAATTTATTTAATACTTCAGTGAATTAATTTCAATAAATTTCTTAATTTTAATTTAGCTATTCCAGTATAAAATTGTTAATTTTTATTTAATTCATGGCCTTTGATATTAAAATTTTAGATTTTGTGACCTATTTTTTTCTTTATAGTTCTTGTCATGAATTTATTCATATTTTAATTTAACTAAATTTTAATAGATAATTTTCATAACAATTATATCAGCCAGAAAAGTACAAACAAACAAAACAAAACAAAACAAAACAAAATTATGAATATTCAACATTTTATTCAATTTTTGTTTTGTATGTGAATATAAAGGTCACCAATTTTAGAGGTCCGCCTAGAGGCCCAATCTTAGAAGTCTGCTCCCTGGTTACGATCAATCATTTGGAAGGGGCTCTAAGGTAATGTTTAGTTGTTTGGTTCATTGAAATGAATTAAAATGAAATAATTATTCCATCAAAATATTTATTTCTAAACTCGGTTACGTTAATAGAATGATTATTCTCTAATAAATCCCAAGAAATCACCATTCTATTGCATTCTAATGAACCAAATGGAACATAAGAGAATCCAAACTCCAAAACATCAATATGAGAGTTTTAATGCAATGGAAATTACTAATTGCCCCGAATCCCATGCTCATGAAAAGCACAGTATAGAAGACAACTACATCAATGCAAGCATTTTATTACGATTCATGACATTTTATAGTGTCTTGATACAACTTTTAAGTATTGGCAAAAATCCATAAAATATTTAAAATATTACAATGCATAATGGGTGTAAAGGCTCCCGCAAATATCTCACTTTGCAACAAGTTTATTTATTTATTTTGACAAAATAAATGATGAAACTAGACCGCATGCACATTAAGCCTCAGATAATCAATGTGTCAACACAGAAGTGATTCAGTCGGTAATTCCAACTTAAAATGATAATAATCCTCATTGGCTTCACCTTAATGTCAATAACAATATTGACCTCAAAGAAGTTACAATAAAACGATAGATATTTAATAATGAATAAACACAAAACAAGAAAAAGAAGAGAATAAATCAAAAGGTATAGAAAATGTAATTGTATGAACCACCGGCTTAATGTTTGCACCTTCGACTAGACTGTGTACAAACACTGGACAGTTTAATCCTCATAGACCCGTTTCAAATCCCACACAGGGCAGAACAAGGGCAGAGGATCAGCAGATGAAAAGAGTGACCATCATGCACTAGTTATCTTTAGCGAACTATTAACATATTTTAATCAATTTTTTTACTTTATCAATACATCTAATTGAATCTCTAAAATGTGAAGAACAAAAATTAAAACATTAGAAAAAGTTTATTGAAAATCAAATACTGCTAAAATAACAGCCAAATAACAAACCCTAATCAAGTACTGTCGAGACAAAAACATTATCCTTATTCTGAAACCCTAATCAAGTAAAAATGAATTTGCATGAATATGGTAGAGAAAGCACAATGAAGAAACTTAATTCAACAATAACATTACTGACTTATTGAAGGTAGTTTGTACAAAGATCTTATGAAATACTCTTCAGCTCAGGTCTCCATGTATATTAGCATGATTGTTCTCAGGAAAACAAATGTTTGCAGTGATCATCATAAGAGATATCAAGATCTTGAAAGTGTGCTTAATAATAAAGAGCACAACCAACAACAATCTTCTACATTTGTTCTCATTAACTTCTTTTAATTGTGCACACAGTTGCCAGAAGAACCAGCAAGTATGAGCTTAAGAAGTATCAAACATAAACATGCAAGTCTATCCTCTCCAATTTCCCAAAATCATATGAAAACAAATTGATAAACTCTTAATAAAACCATCAAGATTCAATGAGGAAATTTTTGAATTTCTTAACTTTACTAAAACTTATTAGCAAACAAGCAAAGGGTTAGTTCAAAAATTTTAAAACAATCAAAATGATGCATTAAAAGATTTTTTTCAAGCCTCTTCAGTTCAGATCTCCATAAATTTTCAGCATGGAATTTCTCAGTAGAACGAAAGTTTCTTTTCATCATCATCAGAGGCACAAGCAATTAATTAAAAGATCAAAAAGCATTATAAAAAATTATAAAATTTATAAAAAAAAAAACAGTCGTGGAATTAGATTCTCAACATTAAACAAAAATTGTCAACTAAAATTTAAAAAACCAATGAAAATCCATCAACAACTTAAACAAGTCTTATTGCTAAAAATTTGTAAGGAATTAAACCAAAATCAAGCTTTGAAGTATTGTTTGGTTCATTAGAAGTAAAATAAAATGATCATTACACCAAAATATCAATTCTCACATTTGGTTAACTAAAATATAATGAAAAATACATTATAAATGAAATTATCATTGATCATTTCACAGATTCTAAGAAATGAGCATTTCACTTTCATTCCAATGAACTAAACATTGTATAAATGTCAAAAAGAGAATTTTCAAATAACATGAAAAAAGAATAAATTAATTACAAATTTATGAACAATTGTGCTCAGGACACGGTTCTTAATGCACTAGCAAGTAATCATTTTGCAAGCTTTTCATTTTATAACAACCCCAAGAATGAGATCCAAATTTCAAATTTCTTGTTATCAAATTAAAACTTAAAAGCATACAATACATATCCACATAAATAAAATCAAATCATGAATTATTATATGTTTGAATATGCCAGGGTAACATAAATAATAACCTTACCATAGAAAAAAATAAATAAATATAAAATATATTTAGCATTTATATATAGAAAATTGTCTCTTCAGTTCAGGTCTCCATAATATTTCCGCATGGAATTTTCTCGGAAGAACGAAAGTTTTTCAATTGATCATCATCAAAGACAAAGATTGACCAAACATATATTCAATAAAACCAATTGAATCAAAATACTTAACAAATCAAAAAACAAACAAAAAAAATCCCAAAACTTTGCACACAGTTGAAGACAGAACAAACATATATAGCAATAAAATAAGAGAAGCAGCAAAAGATAATATCAAAGGTAGGTACGAACCTTGTGCAGGCGACAATTGAATGGAAGATTGCTGGTGATTTATAGAGGACTCTTCGCTTCTCGTTTCAAAACCCTAGTCGTAGTTAACTAGGGCAGTTTATGTGCATGTGTTGGGTAATTAGGGCTAGCCTCGGTACTTCAAAGTTAGATTGGGTTGGGCCAAGTTCAAGGCTTGATTTTTACCCATTTTTTAATTGAATATGGCTGTTGTTTCTGCAGGCCCATTATGCCTAAAAGAGGTATGAGAAAACAAAATTGAGATAATTACCAGCATATTTTTTTGTGATAAATTACAAATACACCCTTGAGATTTGTTTAAGGTATATATTACTCGCTATGGTTTAAAAAATTACAAATATCCGCTTGTTAGAATCTTTTATTTTATAGAATTAACTAAAAAAATAAAATTCATAATTGCTCTCCTAGACGATAATAAATTACCTAAATTATTAATTGAAACATATTTCTAATATCATTAAAAATTGTTAATTGACTTGATAATTTATTAATAAAATTGACGATTTGTTATTAAATTAGAAACCTTAAGGGGTTAAATATAATTTCTAAAACCACAGAGAGCGATTTGTATTTTAAGAAAACCTTAGGAGTGTATTTGTAATTTATTCTTTTTTTTTTCTTTCTTTTTTGTGTTTTTTTGTTACAGGGGGTGTTAAAGCCCCTAAGCACAAGCAATGAAGTGTTGGAAGCCTAGTACCCACTCACCAACATCTGTTCGAATGATAACCCCCAGTACCAGCATTGTTTCCATGGCCTTGAACTGAATGAACCATCCATGTTAAGTTTGACTCAATAAAGAGGAGGATGGCACAAGTGAGCTACCTCAACACTAGGTGTATTCAGGCCACCATTCTTCCTTAACCCGTGGACTTATTTACTTATGTCTTGAACTAAGTTTTTTTTTTTTTAAGGATGAATTACATTAATAGTTCCTATAGTTTGGAGCTTGTGTCACTTTGGTCCCTGACTTTTCAATTGTGACACATTTGACCCTGAATTTTGAATCTTGTTCCAAATAAGAACAATTGAAAATATCATTAGATTTTTCAATAGTAAAATCGTCAATTTGATAAAATATAAACTAATTTGACAAAAATAAATGCAAAACAAATAATACAAAATTGACAAAAATTAACTTTGTAAAGGTAAGTCATTTTTAAAGGTAAACAAAGAAAGAATTAACTTGTAAAGGTAAGTCATTTTTAAGTCACTTGCAAAACAAAGAATCAACTTTGTAAAAATTAACTTACGAAATTTTTAAAGGTAAGTCATTTTTGAAAAAATAATAAAAAAATATTTTTCTTAAAAATTATTTTACTTATTTTTTTGTTCAACCAAACAACAAAAAATTAGTAAAATATTTTTGACAAAACTATTTTACGTCAAAACAAACAGAACCTTAGAGTAAAACTCTTTAATAAGTCCGATCCACAAGATCTGCTCGTAATTGCTCCAAAAAAATTTCACATAATTAAAAAAATAATTAATAATAATAATAAATAAAACAAAATATAGAGCTTCGGGTCAGATGTTTTCATTAATATTACCTTCCAATTTGTGGTGTCATTTTTACAGTTTTTTTGTCAAAACTCTCACTACTCACTTGTATCAGGAAAAATGACAACTAATTTTAATGAAAAAAGTCCGTGATTTAATTTTTTGTAAATTTAAAGGATACAAAAATATTATAAATTAAATTAATGGACAACTTTGTCCTTCATTAAAGAACCAATTTAACTATCATCTGTATCTGTGTCTCACTATATTCTACAACTCTTTCTACCTCTCTCTTGCTTGCTCAAAACTTCACCATCTCCTTCACTCATCGATTGCATCTCATTACCTCCACTGCTTGTCGGCATCGCTCATTGTCACCACCATTCATCACCATCTTAGATCTACCGCTAGCGAATACCATCTTCATCATTCGTCAACACCGCACATCGTCTCCACTATCAGTCGCTGTCTCAAATCTACCACCAGTGACCACTATCAGTTGCAAGAAAAGAACAAATACCGAGGAAACCTTCCACCAAACATTCCTTATTTTAAAACAGTACAAAAAACTTGCCTGATGAATCAAAAAAATTCCCTCTTGTTACATTTCAATTTTGTGAGAGCAGTTGAATCATTATTTTTTGATCACTAAAGAAAGGATAGAATAATGTTCAAAAAACATATGCTGTGTCTGCTCAAGCAAATATTTCCCTTGTATTACATTTTAATGATGCAACATTATTGTGCCTAGGCATGTTCCAATATTGTAACTTAAATAGCCCAAAGCCAGTAATTTTTTTTTTTTAATTTAAAAAAAAAAAAAATTCAAAAACTACGCTGGCAAAGTTTTACTTACAATGAAACAACTTCACTGGCATAAAATCTTTGCTATAATCAAGCTCCAGGTCTATGCTACCAACAGGTACATAACATTTATTCACTCAAAATACCATACCGAATTTGTAGAAATCATCATTCATAAATATTCAATATTGAGTAATTACTAGTTGTGCAAACTTTCCTTATTGATATGACACCTAACCTATCATATTATTCAAGCGACTCTTGTTGAAATTGAAAATTTTCAATCATTACATGACACATCAGTAATAATAAAAAGTGTAAAAAATTGTCCCGTTTGTATAACATTTTCCTTCAATATTTGCTAAACTTGAAAAAGATCAATTTAAGACAATTCCTTGCAAGTCCCTCCAATTCAATGGCCAAATTCATCAAGATTCAGTAAAAAAAAATAAAATGCAATTCAACTTGAGATACACTCTTACCATAAACTTCAAGAAGACAGACATTTACCCGATCTCAATGGGTTAACTGTGAGAAATGTTAAATTGGAGTGGCTTTTCAAGATACACAGTTGCCTTTTCATACTAAAATATGTGCAGAGCAAAATCATAAAG